GAGCACATTTGTTATAATGTGTACATATGGGATTTCAATAAAACGTATACCAACAGTATTTGTAAGATACTGGAAATGTAGACAAAAAGTTCACTATATTAGCATATATAAACATTTGTCTGTAATACAAATAACGTAAGTAAGTTGTGTTAAAATGGTAAAAGAAAGCTGTTGTCAAGTGATAGAAAGGAGTTTTCAGTGTTAATCAGACTGAAAATGTTACTAAGATACAAGATGCTTAGATGTATATTTGGCACAGGGAAATAGGATCTTGAACTTTTCACAAAGATGGGCTATAAAGATTGCAGGAGATGATTCTGAGTGACTACAGTCAGCACACTTATCTTTGGTCAGCTAGAGAAACACTCAGCAAGGTGGAAATTATCAAAAATTTTCTTGGTTCCTGATGTCACTTCTACAATAGTTTTCCATTTTCTTCTTTTTTTTCCTCACTATGCAATTTACTATCATTCTTAAATTCATTCTGTCTTTAAAGGAACTTTTATAGCATTTATAATAATAAAACACTCTAAACTTGGGAAACAGAAGTTGTATTGTTAATAAACATTTGACATTATATAAATTCTTCTGCAGGATCTTGGTTCAGATATTTTCCACAATCAAACCAAAGCTACAATTTAAAATTAACCATTTTGAGGGATTATCCAAACTATAACTGTCTTAAATTTCAACATTTTTATTACTTTTTAATTAACCTAACCTATATACTCAAGAAGGCAGACTTTTTTGGGTCTTAACCATGTTATTTATGCTGAGTCATCAAATATTTACTGCTGTTTTTGTTATGTGCCTCATTCTATTTGTGTTAAATGACCTTTAGTCTCTAGTCTAAAGCAATAAAGTGAATGCTTCCTGTTCTATCGATTAGGAAAGGCCTATTTTCACACTAATAAAATGAGAAGCCCAGTTTAATGAAATACTTTTTTCTGCTAGTAGCCCTAGGTGAACTAGAGACTTGAAAATGTTGGCAGAGGTCAACCAACAGGACAGAGGTCAGATCTGCGGTAAATCAACTTCCAGGAACAAATCACTGGACACTATAAAAATCAAAAGTGGTTCTTTAAGAGACCAGCTTGACCCTCCTTAACCAGAAAATAACATCTGACCTGGCAGTGAAATTTATCACAACATTTCAATTAAAACTTGGCAGACACACTAGCAACATACTGTTCTTCTACAGTTGACCTTGTTACAGAAAAGACAGAGAAAGGAGGGGGAAAAAATGGATATTCTGGCTGCAAACAACAACAAATATGATCCGTAGAATAATAGTTTCATCCACCACATGAAGTTTTCTGGACACTAAATTAGCATGTCAAGTGTGGGTAACACATAACTTCTTGTCAATTATTATCTACTCAGATATCCTTCAGATATCTACTTCTTTATGATATTACAAAACATTATCAGTTAAACAATAACCTTCTTAGTATTTTATTTAATTTACATAAAAGTAGATACTTGGAGTTTGGCATATTTTCATGATAAAAACAGATATAAATAATATAGTTTAATATGATAAATACTATATTTTAAACTAAAAGTGAATGCTACCATTATAGTTGATTTGAGAAACATGTCCACTAAAATCAAGTATTAGAGAAATTTTACCACAACTGTAATTAAATATTTGTAATGAACAGATTCTTAGAAACATACATTCTAAGATTGAATCAGTAAGAAATAGGAAGCTTGATCAGACCTATAGTGAGTAATGGAACTTAAATACTAATCAAAAGTCACCCCAAAAATAAAAGCCCAGAAGCAGATAGCTTCACCCATGAATCTGTCACATTTTCAAGGAAGAATTAATACCTATCCTATTTAAACTCCTGTGTAAAATTGAAAAGGAAGGAAAATTTTCACAATCTGAGAGTCAACATTGCCTTAATTCTAAAACATGACAAGGACATCACAAAAATAAAAAGAAAATACAGGCCAAAAACTCTGATGAACATAAATGCAAAAATCCTCAAGAAAATCTCAGCGAATTGAATTTAGCAACACATTAAGAAACTCACACATCATGAACAACTGGGATTTATTCCAGGAATGCAAAAAAGGCGAGTGCATGCAAGTCAACAAAGTGAATATAACACATCAGGAAAAGGATGGCCAAAAGTCACATGATCATCTCAAAAGACACAGAAAAAAGTATTTGACAAGATTCAACGTATTTCAATGATTAAAAAACCCTCAACAATAGGTATATAAAGAAAGCCCTCAACATAATAAAGGTCATACTCAACAAACCCACATTTAACATCTTACTCACTGGCAAAACTAAAGGATTTTCTTCCTAGATAGGAACAAAACAAAGATAACCATTCTCATCACTATTATTCAATATAATGTTGGAAGTACTATAAAAAGTAATTAGATAAGAAAATATATGAATGTTATTCAAATAAAAGAAAAAAACTATCACTATTGTAGATGGCATGATAATACAAATAGAAAATACCAAAGATTCCAATAAATGTTATTAGAAATAATAAGCTAGCAGTATAGCAGCAAGCTAAAAAATAATATTAAAAAATCTGCAGTGTTTCTATACAGAAATAAAGAACTAGGAGATAGAGAATTAAAATAATCCCATTTATAATTTCACCCAAAAGAATTAAATACATTGGAATAAATTTACGCAAAGAAATGAACAATGTGCATATGACACTGTTGAAAAAAATAGAGGAAGACACAAAGAGATAAAACAGTATTTCATGCTCATAGATTGGAAGAATTATCATTAAAATGGCTATGTAGCCTAAAGCAACATACAAATTCAAGTCAATCCCTACCAAAATCCCAAAGGCATACTTCACAGAAATAAAACAAAAAATTCTGATATCTTTTTTTGAAAAACAAATGGTTCCAAGAAAAGGGAAGAGAGTAGTTATATCAGGAAAGAAGGTACAATGTATTTGGAGTTTTAGTGATAGACTTAACATAGTATATAAAATTGTTGATTCTAAATGATAAATGCCTTAAACTTAGGTTATAATGCAATGTTACTTCAATAAAAAGTTAAATAAATAAAATAAAAGATAAAAGTTTTGATTACTGCATGTATGTAAAAAATAAAGCATTTTTAAAAATAGCTTAACTCCTATATTTAACTTGTCTCATTTTAGGATAATGACTTTTACTATATCCAAGACAGTCAACTTAAAATTTAAAAGAAATGCCAACAGTTTTTATTAAGTTCACAGATTATAAAGTATTCAAAGTGAAATAACTTTCCAACAAGCTGTTAATAACCTACAGAATATTAAAATGGAGAAAATCATTCACCATAACAACAAAAAAATATAATCTACGAAATAACCTTGACAAGAAATTATAAATATGTATTAATAAAATTTTTAAGACATTGAAAAGCAAGTTGTCTCAACTTAAAATGCAAAAACACTAATTCTAAGACATATACTCACTGTTCATTGCAGTATATTTACAATAGCTAAAATATAGAAATTATCTAAATGCCCAAGGACAGATGAGGGGATTAAGAAGATTCATACATACATACAGACATGCATATATATACATATCTATGTGTATACATACACAGTGAAATATTACTCAGCTATAAAGATGAAACCCTGACATCTGTGACAATATAGATGGAAATTGAGGGAATTATGCTAAGTAAAATAAGCCAGAAGGAGGAAGACAAATACCACACAGTCTTAATAGTATGTGGAATATAGCAAAATAAAACAAAGCATCAAACCAAAACAAGTCAAAAACAAATCCTAGAAATCTGACTTTATATTAAGAAGACTAGAGAAAGAGGCAGTGTTGGGAACAATGGGGCATCAGAGGGCAATGGAATATAATGGAGAACTATGTGTGCCTGCTGGTGGGTGTGGTGTGGTAACACACATACGAAGAGTTGTGGTCTTACATCTCTGAATCATATATAGTTTTGTAAACCAAAGTTATCCCAATTAAAAAAATTAAAAATTTTAAATGCTAATTATAAATACATATGTGAAATGTGATATAAAATGGAGAATATATACATATGAACATGTACACATATATATGTAGTTATGTAGCAAATGTCCATTGATGAGTGAATGGATAAAGAAAATTTGATATGCACATACAAAAGAACACCATTCAGTCTTAAAATATCAGAAATTTCTGTTGTATAAAACAGCACAGATGAATCTGGAAGACATTATGCAAATGAAACGTCAGGCACAGAAGGACAAATACTGAATGATTCCAGTTACAGAAGGTATCAAATTATAGAAACTCAGATTAGGATGGGAGGGAGAAGGAATTATGGAGTTGCTTCTCAAAGGGTATAAAGTTTTAAACAGATGAGTAAGTTTTAAAGGTCTTCTGTATAACACTGCTGATAGGTGACACTTTTGCATGGTGGGCTTATAAATATTTTAGTAAGGTAGTTCTCATGTTACCACACAAAAAAAAAAGAACATCATAAATATCATGGTAAGTAAAATAAGAGATATTTAACAGTATATACACACACATATTTTTTATATAAAACTCTAGAAAGGACTAACATAATATTAGTGACAAATTAGTGGTTGTTTTGTGTGAAAGCTGGGACAGGTCTTAACTCAAGAGTGACAGGAAGGAACTTTCTGGGGCTATGGAAATGTTCTAAGTTTTGAATACCAGGTACATCATCATTGATGATGATGAGTATATAAAACTGTCATTACTCACAAACTGTATAATATTGTGGTTTATAAGAAATAAATGTGTCATTTACATGACTAAGATATATTTCTCATCTAAATTTGGTATTTTCCCATAGTTCCTGTATTGTTGTCTGCAAGATCTTTGTAATTTCCTAAGCAATAGGAACAATGCAGTATCTTTTGTTATAATTTTTGGTCTTTTTTCCTGGATTCTTGAGATTGCTGAAGAGTAGTAAAGAGGTGTCTTGTTTTTCATAACAATACCCTCTACCACAATTGGGTTTAGGTTAACGGGGAACTCACCTGAGGATAGAGGCAGATTGTCAGTGAGGTCAACCACTTGATTAAGGTTTAGAACTTTCACTCCCATCTCTATCTCCACCAACTATACCTGAGGGGAGAGGAGTTAGAGAATCATGTCAACGCCAATGACCAATGATTACATCAACCATGCTGCTAATGAAAACCCATAAACCCCCAAAGGACAGGGTTTAGAGAGCTTCTAGGTTTATGTGGAGATTTGGAGTATGTGGAGATTTGGGGGAGAGTAGTGCACTTGGAAAGGGTACTATTTTCCCCATATCTTGCTCTATGTATCTATTCTACATTGCTATTCCCCATGAGTTGCTCAAGGATATTAAATAGTCTTAAGAACGAGGTTGTTGGCCCTTCAGTTCTGTAGTTCATGAGTGGGAAACACAGATGATAATCTGGGCTTATGAGTGACAGCTGAAGTATGTGTTTACATGAGTGTGTGGGGGGTAGACTTATAAGACTGAGTCCTTAAACTGTGAGATCTGATATTATCTCTGAACTATGTAGAAACATCTCCCACCACAAACACCCTCCCCAACATAATCATCATAATTTAATGTGAATGCATAAATTGCTTACTCAGAATGAGTGCATTTCATTTTATGTATAACTTAAAAATTTTTGCATATACAATACAATCCCTACTTTTATAAGTGTAAAATTAAACTGAGAATTTATTCATTAACAAAGATTATAGTTTACATTGATATCATGGATAATTTTTTGGTTTAACCAGCTTTGGGGAGGATTTGTCCCTTACTTTTCTTCATTGATTGTATAGCAATACTTTATTTAAATTGACAGACTACATTAATATATTTGAGGGAAGGAAAATTTCAGTTGCATGGTGGATTTTCCATGGTATTACTAAGTAAAAAAATAACTTGGAATTATTTAGAAAGTCATTTGGGATTTCTGAAAATACTAACTCTGGATTTTTCCTGGAGTTTCTTAATCTATTAATACACTTTACAAAGAATGTTTGCTATAAAATTAGACTGATAAAAGAAGAGTAAATTCACAGAAATAAATAGCAATTCTTAATGACCAAACAACTTGGTCATTGAAGATGAAGAACTGCTTGAAATAACTTGGGATTTGTAAGTGTGACATATCAGAATAGCAATAGCATAATGATAATACAAAAATTCCTCTAAATTCATGGTAGAGTGGATGACAAATGACATTGAGAATTATATTAACATGTATAATTAAAACAACATATATTTCATTAACATATATTAGTAAATATGTGTTAAATAATACTTGATGCAATAAAGTAGAAAAAAGCTCTCATACCACAGATCCTTAAACTAAGACTAAGAGACATATGGACTCATTTTTAGTAACCAGTGAATTTAGGTTAATTGTAATGTTATTTTTCATAATAACTTAAAATGTAAGATTTATGAGGGCAGTGATATTTTCTTATTCATCCAGTACTAGAGAAATAGCTGGAGCTTGAGTATGCTATAAATGCATGCTAAATAAGTGACTACATTAACTCTAGTCAACTTCCCCACACATATTCTTAAGTATTATTATTATACTAAAACAATAATAATGATATAGGACATACTAGAAAATATCAGTTGATTGCCTTTAAGAGATAAGAACATATATGCAATTTCATTTTATTTTACTATTATACTATGCTGCTTTGACCCCCCATATTATTTCCACACTTTCTACTTCTCCATACTTTATCCTTATCCCTGGAGAACCAAGGCAAACTAAATCTAGTAGGGACTTAAGTCTAGATACCCATCACGTTCTTAGTTGGAAGTAGAGTTGACTTTTCCATTTCTATAAAATGTTCAATTTTATTTCATATTTAAAAGAAATTTTGTCTCTATATGTCAGTATAACCTTGTAGTATACACTGAAATAAATCTTTTTAAAAATTAAATGATTCTTCATAGATGTGGGAGGGTTTTAATCTTCAATTATTCTATTACATCCCTCAATGTCAATTTTCCAGGAGGGATTTGTTCAATTTTCAACACATATACAGCATCAACACAATGACAAAGAATGTCTCTGTCACAGCTGGTATATCCCAATGGAGCTATTAATATCTTTTTAAGTCATGTTCCTTTTGTGACATAGGCAGAACATACATAAATATGTTGGGAGAAATGATTTTCATAATTTTAATATGCTAGCTACATTTGTGATAACAGCCATGATCAAATATGCTCTCACTTGCTAAACCAACTAAACAGATGATCTATAATTCTCTTGGATGCAAAAATCTAAGCAATATTTAAAAATCATGAACATCTACTTTAGGATTGATACTGAATAAGGTTACTCTAATTTTCAAGTGAAGTCCAAGTGTTGTAACAATTATGGCTCATTATGTTGTCAAAGAGAGACCTGTATTCAGTAACTATTTCCAACTCAAGACAGACTGTGTTGTTGCCAACAGACTTTTCAATAACCTGTGACAATCCAGCCTGCAGAGGTTAGAATTTAGCTACTACACTGTTATCATTTTGTCTCAGTCGCTAAATCATCAGACTTTTTTTTTTTTTTGCAAAGATCATAGATAAATCCCTTGTTCTTGTTCATTCTTGAAGAGTTCTTCCTCTTAGTGCTCAATAATAATAAACATGATTTTCTAGTCATGTTTTGCTCATATTACTTATGGCTTTCATCTAGTGCAATATATAAAGACAGAGAAATGAAGGCAGCATAAGAAGGGAAAGGAAAAGGGAATCCAAACAGAATACACTTATTTTTCCTTAGCTTCTAGAAGGCAGGAAGCACAAGGTCTTTCATTTAAAATATCTTATTCATGTCCTTGACAGTGTACCTTGTTATTTTATGATCATCTCATATGACCCTGTTTATATAGGGTAACTCTGGACCTCTTCCTCTCTACGTTATGGTCTGACAATCACTAACTCATGTGTTTCTGATAAAAACATAATGTATGTCCTGTTCAAGAAACATAAGTAAAATCATTGAGTGATTACTATTTTTGATCTGTCACACAAGAATTCAAATGTAAGATTATAAATTAAAACTACAGTAAAACTGCTTTGTTTAAAAGTTCATTCCTTTTCTCTAATTTGAAAATACAATGCCATAAAAGTTTAAGAGCAAAAAGGTACCCCAAAAATGTTTAGATTACTTGGAATAAAATGCAGTATACTTGTTCCCAATCATAAAAAGAGCACTCAAAGAAAAAAAGGAAAAGGATGAGTGTTTCCTTTCATTTATCCCTGCTCTCTGGTGCAAATATTTTATGTTTGGGGATCTAAAGAGGTCTCTTGAGTTGGGTTAATTGAGATGTGAGAAAGTACATAAAAAGATAACTACAGCCCTTCAAATGAAATAAGCCACAAAATCACCATCCTTATCATTAGAACTATAATCACATTGGATTTATAACAATAATTATGACAGTGGTGATGTTAATGAAGGAGGAGGAGAAGATGGAGAAGCAGCAGCTGCACTGTGAACATTATTTTATTTTATAACTTGACAATGTCATTTTTTATGAGCCCTTCAGTGGAACAAACTTTTCATGGAAATTTGCCCTGCTGAATAGTTACAGCAATTACTATTAAACATATACACATGCATCTCTCTATCTATATAGGTTCACTATACATGTATAGTGTGTATATACTTAAGACATTTAGACTTGAAAATGGTAGTGCTTTCATTTTAAAAAGGGCTAAGATTAATTTTGTGAGAAAAGGGGAATAAGTTTGATTTATTGAATATTGCATAGGCAACTGAAGAAAATATTGAAGGTGCAGCCAAAACTTTCGAATGGCAAAGACTAATACTCTGATCACAAATAAATTTATTTTTCTTGTTTCAAGAATTCACATTGTTGATCAAAGTGAGGAGGAATATTGGGTTGATTAAAGTTTATTTACTGGCTCATAAACTTCTGTTCATTTGATGATGTGTAAGACTGACCAGCACAATAACCAAATCAGAAACATTGCAAGGCAAAAAGCAATTGTGCAACTGAAAATGTTACATATTTTAATTCCCTATATATTTGCATTTCTATTATGCTTGACTGTACCTTCTGAATACAGGCAGAAATAATATGCTCCTAACTCCAAAAATGCTATGAGACCCCAGTATTTTGCATAAAATGAGTCTTAAAAAATGCCAAATCCTGTATCTGCGACCTGTAATTTCTATGTTAGTGAGACACAATTTTGGCATTAGGTTCTAATCTATATTAAAAGTAGCTGTGCTTAGAAGAGGTGATACATTGAATTTTATCAGTGGTTCATTCTCAGCATGAATCAGTTTATCATACTTTGTCCTGAGGATCTATAAATAGGAGAAAGGAGAGCAGAGTGCTCCACAGCGCTGAGTGGCTGAGAATTGAGAGAAGGCCAGCAGAGGGGAGGGGGAAAGGAAATGGAAAACTAACTTGGCTTATTTCATTGATATTTAGCCTGTGCTGCAAAGCAGGCAAGGACACTGATTTACTCTTTAAACTAGACAAACTGGCATTATATTCTGAGGCACATGGGCATTATTGACAATGCCTCGTTGACGTTTTGTGCTGTTCTTGGACATTTGTCTCTGTTAGGCTAGAGAAAGTTATCATTATCTTCAATGCTCTTCTCCATCCTCAATCCCTACCCCCAGTCTATGAAGCGTGGTGAAATAAAAACATTTTTCCTTAACTCTGAATTATTTAAGAATAGTAAATGAGTTAAAACCCAATTCTTGTAAACGATACTAGGTTCTACGGTGTGATATATTTGTTTGCATATTCATTTGCCAGATTATGAAGAACTAGAAGAGCAGAGGTCAAATCAGTGTAAACATAAGGTATAGGATGTTATAGCTGGAGACAGCTTCACAGATGAGGGCTGACTGTCACTGACTATGCAACTGTCATCTCTATCTTGCTTAGGCAATATTAAGTGGCATGACACTTTATCAGGGCATGTTAATTCAGTGAGGAATGATAAAAACTAAACTACATGCATGCTAATCTGGAAAGTGTTAGGAGAGTGCTTTGTGTAGCCTATGGTTCTAGTTTGAGAAATAGCAGTGTCCACTTTGTTATCATAACAAGGGAAAAGGAGAATTGTTTCAAAAATTGCAGTTCTTAGGTGGAATTTTGACATTTTACAGTTGATTTTATTATTAGTTGGAACCAAAAACAATGGGGATTAATAATACAAAGCAAGGTGTTTTTATGTGTTGCAGAAAGTAAGTGAAAATCTCATTTAGAGTTGGAATAAAAATGTACGTGGAGAATATATCTGAGAGATTTATCCAGCCTAGAATTCAAGGTATCAGGAAAAAGGATGATTCCAAAATTAAGCCATATAATAATGAAAAATAAGCAACAGAAGTCAACAATCCTAAAGCAATTATGAAAACATATAAATAAAAGATGATTCTCCTGCTTTTTAATAATAGACTTTTTTTCCCCTCTTGGGAGAGAATATAAAGGCAAGGTTTAAAACTCACATCTTTTAAATTTTCATTTTTTTAAAAAAGGCAAATAGTTGTTTCTGAGAACTTCACAGTCCAATTGTGACAGAAACTGATGATAATGTGGTCTTATCAGGTAAACATTCAAAATAGAATCAGAGATAAAAATTTTAATAGCATTCAGGATGGAATCTGACCACAGATTAAGTAATGCAAAACCAAAGGAAAAAAAACTTGTGCTTCTACCACAATGGGACAACACTGCTTACTTGAGTGATATAAAAATAAATACACAAGTCAAATGAATATATTTTTCCACTTTTAATGACACATTTCATTATTCTCAGGAAATTAGTATGGTTGATGATATTTTGTGTACGGTGACTTTTGCTAGGTCAAATCATTTCCCAGGAATGTTATCTTTTGCCTTAATGATTTCGATTCATCTCATTTTTTAAGGAAATGGTCAACTAAAAATGTGTATGCTATTTTTTAATAACATCTTTTGATTCTTGGATTTTGAGTCAGGTCTTGGACAACAAATCAAGCGACTTTGATCAAAGTCTTTGGAAAATGTAATGTTTTAAGGACACATTTAATTGGATCACAGTTTGAAGTGGTAGCAAAGTGAGTTTGCCCTTTGTCATAAGGTACCTAGGAATCCTGATCTATATTCCTGATTGCTATTGATTTTTTTAGATTTCATTATAAAATCAATAACTGTTGCACAGGGTAAAATAGTTTACAAGGGTTGCAACATACTGTGGACTTCTGAAAACATACTGAGCTCGGTGAAGCCACCCAGGCAGCCAATTAGGAGAAAACATCTATTAGGTAAAAACAGGGCAGTCCCATTGACTGCTATTGATTTCCTTAGCCCTGTGAAAAGACAATCAATTAGATAAAGAAGGCTAATGTTACAGCTGCAATTTAATAACCCCTAAAAAAAGAAGGAGAGCTATTGATTCCTGACATGGAATGTTGAGGCTTATTGAAATATACTGAACTTCACCTGTCTTTTAATCAGGCCTGCAGAGACAGAGAAAGCTTGCCTTTCTAGCCTTGTGGTACAGAATTCCACTTATTAAAGAGCCTTGGTGATGCCAGACCTAAGAGATGCAAATGAAATAGAACTTTAGAAGAAACACAAGCCTAGATTGAATACTAAATCATGGAAGCTATTGACAGAAACTGTCTTGGTGAAGGTTGTTTCTTTTTCCATACAGAGCTCACCAGAGTACCACCTGTCATTTTCAAAAGCAAAGTCAGTTTTGCCAACCAGCCGTGAATGACAAATAAAGCTTTATGTGAAACACAAGGGCATATTATGTGCTATTGTGAGTTCTGCTAAGTGCTAATTTATCTGGCTTGTTCTCTTCAGCAAACACAGGCACGGACACATGAAATAATCCGTCTAATTATGTAGCTATTTAGGAGAAAAACAAAACAAGGTGTTTTTGTGTGTTGCAGAAGGTACATGATACAAGAAAGGTTTTCATAAAACCTAACATAGCTAATGAAAATAAATGAAATGCTGTAAGCTGTAACAATTTTAGAACAAATAAACTTTTGCTAGTTTTGGATTTAGGGAGTCCCAGCTGCTTTTCATAAATAGATGAGTACTTTCATTCATTTTTTTTTATAGTCCCTAATTGGAAATGGCTAATAGGCCTTGTCCCTTTCAAGTATAAAATCTGGGCTAAAATACCTCATATAGATATTTTCTTTATGCTTTTCTTTTCTATTGCATGTATTTGATCCTTTCTCCCTCATTATATATATGCCTTTTTACCAGCAGACAGCTGCTATTCACAATAATTGCTAGGGCAGTCAATTATACTTTAAATAGACCTACTTGAGGACAAATGGTGGTCTAAATTGTACTAAAGGCATACCATACACAAAGACTATGTCATTTCTAGTATCTGAAATATTCTAAATATTCCTGAGCAGCAATATAGTTTGTGCATCTTACTTCAACATATCAAAGGCTTTCTCCAAAATACTTCTAGAATATAAGTGTCCTGTTCTGTAAGCCATTACCAATTACTTAAATTTCTATTTATAAACAGAATATATTGTTAATACTCCATATGTATTTAGAGAGTATAAGTAAGCATTGTAGGGAATCAATTTTGTTGATAGTATTCTCTCTTTCTCTTTTTTTATTCAAAAGCCATGTGAATTCTATATGCATGTGTGCTACTAATCATTAATGAGGAGGTTTCTTTGAAGGATGTGTTTTTCCTTAGGAATTACACTTTCGTAAAATAATTATGAACAAAGAATAAGTTTCGGAATTTCAGGTCACAATCAAAGATGAGTAAGTGTGTGTTATGGCATATATAAAGTTAATATTATACACATTATTAGAGACTGTCACAAATTAGAACATCACATTTCTGTTTATAATAGTATAGCACTAATATAATAGTCAATATATTATTGATTGGCAGGGGACTACAATCTATAAAATCTGAAGTGCCATGGTTATAGATAAATCACAGTAATAATATTTTCAGAATAAAAATTTTGGAATATGAAGTTGATTGAATTTAAATATTAAACATATAATTTATTCAGGCTCTTAGAACATTGTATCAAAATGAATTATTCTCTCACTTTGCTTAGCATTTTCACTGTGTTGTATATACGTCACTTATTCTTAAAGTTATGTTTTGCTGTTAAGTAGAGAGACTACAACTTTATTCTCATCTAGTCTCACATGTATCTGGGCTAAGATGTCATGCCTCACGTATCCTGGATGTATGTGTTCTGGACTGTATTTTGATCTTAAAGGTTTAAGATAGCTCTCCCACTGTCATATTAGCATAAGTGAAAAATATACATGTAGCATAAATAAAATCTTGGTTATAAAGGAAAAGAATCTATCAAAAGGAAAGAATTGAGGGTGCATATTTAAACATCAAGATAACATTTCGACACTTACAACTCTATTGAAGTATTGAAGTAACATTTAGCTGTCCAACATGCAATAGAAGAGTCCTTCAACTCAGACATCTTCCTTCAATTCTCTAAGACTGCAAAAATAAAAACTTTAAAGCATATGGCTAATGTAGCAACAAGGTCAAGTTACTTTTTCAAAATCTGAAAAAAATGGTTTATGAATGAATGAGTGAAATGAATTAACTAAGAATATTTTAGTGGGGCTTTATAGGGCACGCCTTGATAGTAGTCTTAATGCCACATCGACTGGGTTCAAATTCTGCTTCCTCATTTTATAATTGTGCAATTCTAGGTAAATTAGTTAACCTCCTTACCCATTCATTTCTCCCTGCCCCTCAGGCTTCTCATCTGTAAAATTAGGGAATGATATAAATTTTAAGTTTGTTATGCAGATTCTAAAAATAATTAGCAAAGAACTTAAAGAGATGTAATTTAAAAATTTGGTAGTCAAGGTTATGAGTATTATATGCATGTTATTTTATTAGTAGTATACTAAAGTATTTGCCCTAAGTACACTTAAAAACTATTTTTTTAAATCTCACTGATGACTTACATTGTGGCTCTTAATGATTTATAGCCACGTTAAAGGGAAGTACATGGAGGAATAACGAACCACTTCAATATATGTACACACTTTGTTTTCACTCCATTACCAAATAGCATAAAATAATATATATTTTAAAGCAAAAAATGGATAAATATCTATGAATATCAAATAAGAGATCTGGTTGATATGAAATGATATACTATTTGAAATGGATTAAATTTAAAAATTATTATAAACTTCAGTTACTCAAAACCTTCATGAAGCAGAGTTGATTGTTCTAGTTCTGACTTTATTATAAAATAATTGGGGCAAATCTTTTTTTCTTTCATTTATTTATTGTATACAAACACATGGTTAATGTGAAAATACTTCCTACGAACACGATAAGAAATAGGTAGTGTTCCAGGTCAATTGATAAGGGTCCAGAATAAGTAGAACAATGATTATTCTCTGTGGGAATGAAAAACACACTCTTAGACTTTAAGAACAAAATAGTGGTCATCAGAATGGAAGGGGAAGGAGGGTGGGCAAATCAGGTAAAATGGGTCCATTGTATGGTAAGGGAAGAAAATAGACTTTGTGTGGTGATTTATAACACTGTGCACCTGAAACCTATATTATTATAAGCCAATGTTACTTCAATATTTTTTTAATCAAAGCAAAAATAGATATTAGTTTAAATCAGTGTTTCCTAACAGGAGGTGATTTTGACCAACAGGAGGCATTTGGCAATATCTGGATTCATTTTGGGCATAATAATTAGGAGACAGTGCCCTAGAACCTAGTGGATAGATACTAAGAGTGCTGATAAATATCCATAATTCACAGAAAAATTCCACAAAACAAATATCCAGTCCAAAATGTCATTAGCACTGCTGTTAAGAAACCCTGACTCAAATGTATGATCTTTACTTTCATTCTTGTATAGCCATCATTTAATATTTACATGAAATAGAGACACCAAAGAGAAGCCAGACAAAATTCCTTTATAATTCAGACAACAGGAGGCTAAATATTATCTTGGGAGTGCCGTGATTCCTTTTGTGGATGGAATCTTTCTTCAGTCCTCTATAGGTCTTGTGTGTGAATTCGAAGTACAGGTTGTAGGAAATTACTATGTTAAATTTTTTTCATGACATAAAAAAAGACATTGACAAGGGAAACCATCAACACATTGTCTATAATTAAATTGTAAGAGATGTGTGTGTGTGCGTGTAAGCAGAAATTCTATTAAAACATCCTGACCTTGATTTTTATAGAATTTCTATCATCTCCAAAATTCAAATGTATGTCATAAGCATTACATTTTCCTTGATATAACAAATGGCTATATTGCAGAATAAAGAGCCACAAAGTGTGTGTGTGTGTGTGTGTGTCCAAAACCATTCTGGAGATGTGGAAAGGAAAACACATGTTTGAAAGAATCTCATTTCCCTCATTCTCAGAATGTTAAACATTCTGTTCTTTTGTTGCTGTTAACTTGATAAGTACTGTGCTTCTGAACCAACAGGCTGACAGGCTAAATACTGAATCTCATCAAAATTTACAGCTAAGCTCTAAAGCATGTCAGTTCAATGCAGTTCCTCCTGTTCTCACCTCCATTTATAGAGACATAGGCTCTGGACCAATAAATTCACAGGTTACAATTAAATCAAAAAAAGTGTTAGTCGGAATAATTTTTAAAAATTTGATTCTCAAAATTAGCATAACTTATTCTCAAATATTTTATTTGTAACACTTTGAACTGTGGAATAATATTGGAACTATATATAACTTAAGATAAATGGAAATGTATCTAATTTTTTGACAACATATAATTAGAATTAAATATCACTTCCAAAACTGTTTCCATTAAAAAATAAGTTAAAATGGGGGCCTCCCTCATGGCGCAAGGGGTTAAGCACCAAACTATGAAGCTATCTGCAGTCTCTGCAGCATGAGTTCAATTCCTGGCCGGCCAGGGAGCAACCCACATGGTGCAGCAGACCTCTCCTGACTCACCCGCTGCTCCCCTCAGCAGTGTACTTCGATCAGTCTGCCTGGTCTGTTCCCACTCTGTCTCTGGTGAATCCTCTCACGCCCCCACATCTGGCCTGTATCCTAGCTCTTGTATGCATAAATAAATATATCTTTAAAAAATAAATTAATTAAAATGATTAGGGTAGGAGAACAAATTGAATATAAACTCACAAATATGGGGATATCCTTTTAAATGCTTTCAGGAAGATTTTGTTTTGTTTTATTTTTATTCTTTACTTACCCATGAAAAACAGCACTGACAAATGAGGGAGGTTTATTGCCCTGAAGCAACAGAAGCAGCGAAATTACTAATACATTTCTTTTTTTCAGAAATAATTTCTCTCAACTGAACATTGATTTGTTGAGCACTTATGTTTATAGTGCTCTGAAAAGATCTTCAAGAAAGACCAATAAAATTTATGGCATGTGGAGCTTCTAACTGATGAAAACTATAGATTCTATTTGGAATTACTTAGTAAATGCAAAAAGAGACAAAAATATCCTGTAAAATGTTTCGATGATCTATAATATTATTTCATTTTTAGACTAATTTCACTGACTTTTTCCCCTTCTTTACGGCTCTGTTAGCAAAAAGTTCAAATTTCTATTATGTAAGTTCAACAGTTATGTATGTAATTAAAAAATTCATAAGAATGCATTATAGATCTGTTGATAATTGAATAAATAAGGCAATTAACAGTATTTTAGAAAGCTTGTTATTGAGGAAATACCAAATTATGAAGCAATATTTAATCAGCTCATATACTTATGAATGGTAATATAAAGGATTATATTTAATCCATACCCAACATTTTTTGAAAGAATTAATATTGTTTGTCATATTTTTCTTTAATTAATACCAGAAATCCTTGACTATTTAACAGTATTACTATTTTGTTACATTTTATCTTCCTATATAGTATTAGACTTGATTACATATTTATTTTATTAGAAATGACATTTTTTGGGGGGAAAATAGTTCAAATTTATCTGTGTTCATACTCAGAATACATAATATAGAAGTGGATTTCAGCATATGCTTGTTAAATTCGAAAATACAGCAACAATAAAACTTTGTGCCCATGGACTATGATGGACTGTGTTCAAATAAAATATAGGGTACTTTGGTGGTGGGTGTGGTGTGGTAACATACACCTGAAGAGCTGTGAAACTTTATCTCTGAAAACCAGTGTTACTTTGATTAAAAAAAAAAGAATGAATATATGACTTGCAATTTCTTGATGTCCCTATATTATTTAAGCTATAATGTTCAGAGAAGTAAGTCAGAAGGAGAAAGATAAATTCACATTTTCACAAGTGTGTGAAATCCAGAGAAACCAAAATAAGGGTCAGATAAAGCTGACTATAGAACTGAAGCATCCAGTGAGGGGGCGGAAGCACAGTGGACTATGGTGGTGGACTGTGGGTGATTTAGTGGTGAGTACACTATGGTGGGCATACCTCATGGGAGAATCCTAATGTTAGCATAATTTTAAATGTAAATAAATAAATTTATTTAAAAAATTTAAATTGAATAGACTAGAATGAAGAAAATAATAAAACAAGGCCAATAAATAATTATATAAGCAAATGAACATTATAGAATACATAGTAAACCAAAAGCTATTTCTTTGGTAAAAGATCAATAAAATCAATCAAACATTAGCCAGATGGATTACAAAAATAAAGAGCACTAACACTAATTACTACTGTCTAGCATAAGAGAATATCATGATAGATCTTATAATCCAAATCTTCCCACAAAATAAACTTCTGTTCTGGGCAGCTTTAGTAGTGGATACTATCAAATTATTTAGCATAAAATATCAAGCCAACTCAAATTCTTTTAGAGTATTTAAAATATAGGAGACCTTCCAAATACTTTTATGAGGCCAGCATTACCTTCAGATCAAGACCAAATAAAATGATTATAAAATAGGGGAATCACTGGTAGATATATTTAATTTAAACACACAGAAAAATGCCTAATATTAGAAAATTAAATTCAGCAAAATATGTAAATAATTGATAGCATAGTCATGTGGAGTTTATCCAGTAATGGAGAGTTCCTGCAATAGAAAAAATATATTGTTTTTCTCGTGGAAGAATAAGAGGCAATAACGTTGAAGTATTTTTTTTACCAAGATGGATAAATAGTGTCAAACTATATATGATATAGATTATAAAAGTGTGCTATTGGAATAGGAATACAGGAGGAAATATTGGCTAAAGAATAACAGTAATTAATATCTTGGTGTGTTTTGTAGTTGTAAAATATAAAATATATAAATTATGATTGAAAAGAAAATGTTTCTGGAACTCTTGAAAAATATAACATTGCCTAAAATTCAGGTAGTTCATATTTATAATTAGTATCAAATTCCCTTCAAAGACTACTGTTGAGCTCAAATATCAGATTGCGTGTTTTAGAAGCAGGCCACTAAGCAAATGAATTTATTTAGATGGGATGTTTGAGCAGCTTGAGTGCTCATGTTTTA